CTTCCTTCCTTCCTTCCTTCCTTCCTTCCTTCCTTCCTTCCTTCCTTCCTTCCTCCCTCCCTCCCTTCCTTCCATCCTTCCTTCCATCCCTCTTTCTTTCCTTTCCTTCCTTCTTTCCTTCCTTCCCTAATTTTCTTCCCCCCTCCCTTTCTCGGTTGTGAGAAGTCGGAAGGAGCATTAAATCTGTGCACTGCCTCATTGCTTGAAATGGGGTGCTCCATTTGGGGGGGGGAATGCAGGAGGTCCAAATAAGAGGCGGGCTCAGCCTCTGCTGCGATAGAGCAAGCAGAAGAAAGGCAAGAGTGGCGGGGGGGGGACTTCGCTGGCGGTTGCAAAGCAGCCTTCCCACGATTGCCTTCCCCCAACGCCCCCCAACCCTTTCAAAAGGCACCCACATCGCCAGCCTCTCCCAACCGGATCCCTGCCTGCCTCCCCTCAGCTCACCTGGACCAGGTTGCTGATGGCGGCTTGTACGGCATGGCTGCAGGGAGAACGGTGCCTGAGAGAAACAGGAAAAAAAAAAACTTCCGATGGCTGAGCCTCTTGGCCTGGGACCGAGCCTCCTCCTCCTTGTGCTGCCGCCGCCAGAAAGCCGTTGCTCTCCCTGCAGAAAAACGTTGTGTGTCGGCATGCACACGCGCAGGAGGGGAGGGAGCCTCGCTTCTCATCGGGTGCTGCGAGCAAGCCGAGCGGAGAGAGGGAAACCACTGCCCTCTAAAGGCCACATCGGGAACGACACTTCAGAGAAATAAAAACTTTTTTTTTAACGGCGTTCTTTTTAAAATTGATTTTCTTTCTTTTGGAAAATGGGACTTTTTGAACATGCCACGGGACACGGGACAAATTATTAAAAATCGTGACTGTCCCACCAAAAGCGGGATGTCTGGTCACCTTACATGTGCGCCATCACCAGCTGCTCTTCCAGGTTCCATCATGTGGATGCGCACTGGCCAGCTAGTCCAGCTTGCATGCGAACAGACAGCTGCTTGCTTCCGGGTTCTGGCATGCACATGCACGTGATGGAATTTGGAATAGAGCAGCTGGCAAGTGCGCACGATCGCGATGGAACCCAGAAGAGTAGCTGGTCTTAATCCTTCCTTTTGATAGGTTAGACATATCTAGCCCCCCCCTATTCATCATAAAATTTAGCCTCCAGATCCTTTTATCATCTTTGTTGCTTTTATCTGCCCAGTTTCTAATGATCGCTCTTATGAGTTATTAACTGAGAGATAGTGTTAAGTCTTGAATATAAATCTTGAAATAATATCTTTTCTTGGTTGTCTACATCAGCAAAGTAACTGATTTAGAGTTCAACAAACTTGGGAAAAAATTGTTCTTGGGTAGGGCTTCTCTCTACAAACATATGAAATGATAGTTCTGAATGTATGCCAAGTAATAAGAACAGTTGTGAGTGAATTCTGCAATCAGTGTGGAGAAATGTTTTTTTTAAATAGTTAAATGTTTTAGAAATGTCACAGTGGCCAGAACTAATACACCATCACTTTATGAGCCCTATTGTTCTTTAGGATGTCATGATTGTAGTATATAAAATTTTTTTAAAAACCCAACATATTTCATGCCTCATGGTGCTGCACTGTAGGGCTCAGGGTGGATAAAAAGATATTGTTTTAAATGATTAAAAACAAGTGTCCTTTTTAAAGAAAAGGGTGGATGAAAGTGCTTTATGAATGGAATAAAAATAAACATTGCATGTTTTAAAGCTGAATTAGCAATCCTTGGTTGTGTGTGTGTGTGTGTGTGTGTGTGTGTGTGTGTGTGTGAAAATATGAATCTTCTTAATAACTGCTTTATTGTAAGTCAATGGCTTCTGAATAAACCAAGGTAGTGAAGGCCTGGTACTAAAGCTTCAGCTTATGAAAGAACTTCAGTTAGGGCTATGCCATAAGTGATATGATATTGAATCACCTCATTTGTGCTAAGATTCAGCAACCTAGGTCAAATAAACACAGAAGCTTGCCAGCAAAAAGATAATGTTAACTACAGATAAGAATTAATACAGATAGAAGCCAGCAAAAAGATAATGTTAACTACAGACAAGGATTAATACAGATAGAAGCTTGCTAGCAGAAACTGATAATGTTAACCACAGATAATGATTAGTATCGATGCTTGATAGAAAATGCTGAAGGCATAGACCACATATAGGAGGGGTGTTAGTTTTATGGGGGGATGTGGTTAAGGAATGTTTCTAAGAAATTTTGTAAGCAAACCCGTTACTGGAATAAAGGAAGGTAATGTGACACTTAGTTCAACTGTGGGCAAAGAGTCTGGGCAGGAGTTCGAAGGTGAACAAAGTTCACCATTAGCATACTAAAAGCATGATCCCTAAATATTTAGATGAGCGAGTACTGTATAGACATCATGCTAAGCACATTATGGGTTGCAAAATGTAATTGTGGGTGCAGCAAGTAAATATAGGAAGTGGCAAATGATCCATGAATGAAATTGTAACCTTGTGCTTTCTTCTGCAAACAGTATAAAAGTCTAATATAAATCTGATTCAGGGCCATTTTTCTTTATGTTTGCGTCAACAGAAGTGCCCCTTTGTTTCTGCATACAATAAAATGTTTGAATTTCACTTTCCTTGACTCTGAGTGAATAATTGGTTAATCATGCTGGGCAATTGACATAGAGTTAGCACTTGACCAATAATAGTGCAATCTATAACCATGGATTGCAACTGGCTCTTAGGTTCTCTTTTTTATGGACTTCAAAACCCCACAAGGTCATGGTGCTGAAATTATGCAGTGAACAGTCGAATTGAGGTGGTGTAATATTTCAACTTATTTTACAGACAAAAGGAAGTAAGGTATATGTACACTTTAGAAATTTAGAAGATTTTGATCTATCTTTTTTAATTCCAAAAATCAAAAGCAAAAAGGGAGAAAAAAATGTGATGGGGGCTCAACCCAGTCTCCAGGCACTATGAGAAGGCAGATACAACATCACCTGGGTCAGGAATGAAGATGTAAAGTTCAGTATCATTGGCATAGTGAAGCTACCTCATCCCATAGTGTTGTATGATCTCAACAGAATAGAATAGAATAGAGCTGGAAGGGACCCTGGAGGTCTTCTAGTCCAGCCCCCTGCTCAAGCCAGGGAACCTATATTATTTCAGACAAGTGGCTGTCTAGTCTTTTCTTAAAAATCTCCAGTGATGGAGCACCCATGATTTCTGAGAGGCTTGTTGCACTCTACAAAGGAACAGTTGTGGGCTGGAGCTCTCATTCCTTATCAACACTCACTGCAGTGGTGGGTTTCGGATCCCATTGAAACCGGTATGGTACAACGGGGCTGGGTGCCCACCACATGAACGCATGCAGCACATGTGCACACAGCGTGTGCATGCATACTTACCACCTGCGACACTCCATGACACCTCTGCGACGCTCCAGCTGCTTGGCAGAGTGTCGCGCAGGCACTGTGTACTCAGTGCCTGTGCAGAAGCCCCGAAAACTTCAAATACCAGTAAAGAGCGCGAGTGGGCCCTCCGGTGCACCATACCGGAATGGTACCTGGTACTCCCGGCAGGCACTGATACGTGCGTACCATTTGTAACCCATCACTGACTCACTGGGACCTGCCTTGAAGAAAGGAGCTGAACCAGTGCCGGACTGTGCCACACAGCTCCAGCTTCCACAGCCAGCCCAAAACAATATCATGTTCAATGGTATTGAAAGCTGCCAAGAGATCAAGAAAAACAAGGATGGATGTATCATCCCCATCACACTCCCACCAGAGATTATCTACAAGGGTGACCAATGCTGTTTATGTTCCAAAACTGGGCCTAAAACTAATTGAAAGGGGTTCATCTAATCCATTTCATCCAATGCTCTCTGGAGCTGTAAGGCCACCATTTTCCCCATCATTTTCCCTAACTTCATAGCAAAGAATCTCACATTTGATTCCCTATTTTTACTTTCCTCTCACCCCTCTTAGGAAACTCCACCCTTGGAAAGTTCCAAAAGGAAGAAGAGGTGAAAAGGACTAGAAAATCCAAGGGACTTGCAGTTTTCTGTCTTACTCCAAAACTGAAATATGTCTGAGCCAGCTGCAAATTGGTCTAAATATATTCCTTCCCGCGGCTACAAGTCTCATTCTCTGGGTTCTTTCTTGCCTTATAGTCATCATGGAAGTGGGGAAGATTTATTTATTTTAGATTTTTTTTAAAATAAACAAAATTGGAGTGTTCGGATGTCAAACAAGTTGAATGTAGGCTCTGCCTATTTAAGAAATGGTTCATAGAGTTTCTGGTTGGCAAAATAAACAATGAACTAAGAATAGAGGAGTCAAATGGCTTCTGAAACAACAGCAATCTTTCAGTCACATTTGACTCATTGAATGCTGTAAACCTCTACAGTTTATTTGTGCAATTAATGGCTGATATTATCAAGTGACTTACAATGCTTGCCCTTACATAGGATAGGAAAAGCATGGGCCCTTTAGGCTAGCTATTTTGGAATGTGCTTTATTAGGTTAATAATACAAAGAAGTAGTTCATAAGAAGAATATCTTGCAATAAAATTCTGACTTCTGTGCAATCAAGATGGTTGGCCTTTATGTAATCTTGGCCTTTAAAAAGTTTCTCATAATAGGAACCCATATCGCTATAGCCTCGATTTTGAAATGCGGGTTTAGTATTAAAACTAGTAGTAATAATAATATTTTTCCTGTTTAGTCTGATTCAATAGATCACCAAACACCTAAGTCTGAACATAACCTTAATTCACTTGAAAGAAAATACACAACAAGATGCAGCCTCTCTTTCTTGGCACTTTTCAAACCTGTTAATCTCAAGAAAGATGCGTAAACATTTGCTTAAGTTTCTTACTGAAGTGTAGGAGTTTAGCAGGGCCATCTTACAAAAGTGTATTCCAGAGTTCTCTGGTAGATGGGAATAAATTTGCCGCTTAAAAGCTTTCATTTTGTCTAACTACTTTTTAAAGACAAACCATTATATATTCCAAACCCCTATTGCATTATTCAGTAGAGTTTTAGTTGTATGTAAAAAGAAACCTTTAGAGTTTAAGGTAAAAAAAGTAGCCCCTTTGATGCTGGCATAAAAACAGGAAATCTCTCCTCAATAATCTTTTTAACACACATGCATTATATTTACTATACAAATATATAGTACTTCTAGAATTGAGAGATCCTTAAAGCAAACCAATTTGTGTTTTTCCTCTAGACTTTTAGCTCATCTCATGATTGAACAATAAGTTGCATATATCTGAAGATAAATAGTTTAACAAGCATAACATGCAGCAATACTAATGCAATGCAGTATATGTATGTACATGTGTTAATAAATATGTTTATGTGTGTGCTCTCTACTTGCATGCTATCCTTTAAATTGAAGACCTAGTGTACAAAAGAAAATGTGTATATCCCAATGTTGACTATTTTAATATCTTTAATTTTATATCCCCTCCAAACATTTTGACTCACTTGCTCAAGAAGATGCATAAAAAGCTATGCTCATTTTTCTATTCAATATTCGGTATTTTGTGCGGTAAGAATATTCTAATTTTTCCATCTTGCAGCACTGATACCTTCCCTCACTATCCCTACCCCCAAATCTGACTGTGTTTCAGAGAGGGAAAGAGAAGGAACTGAAGAATTCCTTATGCAAATTCCACAAGGAAGCAGACATGACAGGAGGGAACCTCCTGGCATTCTTTGAAAAACTGGAACATTTTTGAGGGGTGGGGTGGAGAAATCACTGAAATAGTCCTTTTAATCCAAATGTTTCTTTTTAATCATTTAATAATCTCTTCAACAATGTGAAAGATTGAAGGTGAACAATGACTGAAGATACTGCTTATAAAACTATGCTTTTTTCATCATTGGGTTGTTATAGGTTAATTTATTGCTGGATTATGTAAATATGACACCATAAGGAAACTTGCAAAGTTTGAAAGCAGGAAAAGCTATTAATTTTGCATTTTAGCTTTAGTCATAATAAAAAGAAACGCCCCTTTTAGTTCACATTTATTCTATTACAATATAAACAATCGCATGATGTTTTAGCAGCCATTACATTTAAAATGTCAGATAAATTGTTGAAATGTAGATTTTTCACATTTTTAACACTCTTAGTTTCAGAGAAATACACACACACATACTATGTCTGCATATTATGTATTTGTGTATACATACACACAGAGAGACATTCAAAATGATACAAGCACACATAAATATATTTTACGTCTGCATTTGCAACTTTTTATATATTTTTCTCTTTTTCTTTTGTTCTCTCCCTACTTACTTAGGTAAAATAGATATTTTCCCTATTTATAAAACGCAAGGTTTTTATTTTTTGTTTCTATTTATATACTTTTTGATGATGCCAAAATCAGAATGAAATATATAATTATAATGCATACACTTTTAAATATCCTTTAGGCCTTGCATTTCCTCCTTTCCATTCAATCATATTCAATTGAAATGCCTTAGTTACATTACCCCAAAAGGATGTATTCCAGTAAAATCATATGCATACAGATGTGTGTTTGTGTGTGTGTATTATATATATAAAATGATATATAATACACACACAAACATGATAGAGATATATAAAATTCCATCTGTAATGCAAATTAAATTGATATTTTTTGCCTCGCAAAACAGCCGCAGTAATTCCAATTTCCTTATAATATATTGATAATCAAAACAAATATCACAGTACCAACATAAAATAAAATAAGTTGAATTAGGGTGGAGAGCTTCTGCATAGCCAATGGGTTTTCTCCAGTGCAGAGATTAGCTTAGAAAGAAGAAAAGAAGGGTGATTTGATGGTTTCATGATACCATAAGGATCAGAATTTAGAAGATGGGAGGATATTAAAGTTGGGTTTTACCTAGTGATTCTGTATTTTTATTCATAAGAGTTCTTAGGGCTGTTGGGATGAAGAAGTAAGCAAATAGTAAGTATAAACATTTACTGTATGACTAAATGAAAAATATTTGACATTTTTCTACAAGTCCTAAATTTAATTTTGTGCTGGCTAAACATTACTTTTGAGACTGCAATTCTATGCATGTTTAACTAAGAAGTAAATGTCAAACTGTTTAATATGGCTTACGCATGTATTCATAGGCCTTTATCCTTATTAATTCATTAGAATGATTTATGATTTTTATTGAAAATCTCAAAATAGTCAGGTACCAAAATAATAATCGTGTTTCAAATTAATGCACAAAAGTAGGAGAGGTTATCTAAGAATTCTTATATTGATCTCTATCATACAAAATAATGTAATTTTTTTCATAAAATGGGGAAAATACTAGATATGCAAATGCTGATTAAAAAAATAAGCAGCATTATGTGATCTGTTGCAAGGAATTTGGACCTTTTGCATGAAAATTTGTTGAAAGAAATGAAAAATGTCTGGACATCAGAGCATGTTTCTGCTTAATTTGTTGCATTAAGTGAGATTTTAGTATGCCAGGAGAAACATAAAACTGAATGTAATGGAAATGGAAGACAAGGGAAGTGCTTTGGGTAAATTAAGAAGAGATCAGTAAAAAATGAATGAGCAAGTAATGAATGAATATAGATCAAAATGTTGGAAGAAATATCCATCTGGATATTTCCAGTTCTAGTTTCAGTTCTAAGCCGGGAGAAAGGCACTGGAGACAAAATGGAGTCTAGAGGCTAATTGTAAAGAGGGGTTAATGATGAACAGAACCACCAAGCATCTGGGTAGATGACCATATGGAGTTGAGAGTGAGGTGTTTTTACAGCTTCTCTTGCACTTGAGCTTCCTGTTCCTGTGCAAGAACATGTATTCTATTGGCCATTGTCAGACTTCCACGGGGCCTTGTAGGGGTTATTTAGGGGTCATAGCTGACTCTGTAGGTTGTCTGAGAACTTTGGTTGGAGTTTCTGAGGGTGGAGCAATGTCTTTAGGAGACTGAGCAATATAGTGAGCTCTGTGTCTTAGTGGGTTAATCCCATTATGTCCTGAAGGGTCATGTCTTAATCCCTTCACCTGGGAGCTGAAGATATTTTGATTTGTAGATAGGTTGGCCCAGTCTTTCTTAATGGGCACAATATATCTGCTGGGTGCAGGGAGCTGGGGTTCTAAATTTCTGTCTCCCTTAAGATTTTTTATTTCTCTTTTAGGGGAAATATTTTATCTTGCCTTTTAAAAGTATTCGTCAAAATATTTCATTCTTCTAGGAAAGGTGGTGGTGGATTCCCACAAAATACAATAGTGCAAACTTAATACAAGCTCTACCTATATTTGTTGTGACATCACCCACATGTGTGAAAGGAGTAAAACTTGCAAACAATCGTTTTCCTAACTTTGATTGAAACTGCATCCCATGGATGCCTCTGATAAGGAGTAAATGGGTTGAGACAATAGAACACCAAAAAGGTTGGATGGAGTTAATGAGCTCTTAAAAAGGGAGAGATGAGTAGTTTGAAAAACAAAAGGCAAAGGATAAAGCAATGGATAATCATGGGGGAAGCAAGAATGGTTCCTAAGGATAGAAGAGTTTGATGAGGTATAGGAGAAGGAGCTAGTACAAACTTGTTTTAGTCACATTTTCTTCTTCTCTCTGCTTTGCATAATGCAGATTACTCTGAAGTAGAAGGTACATTATGTATGTATCTATGTTCATAAGAGCTATGAATTCTCAATAAAATTACCAAATATTTTTATTTCGGTATGAAAGATCTGAATGTGTAGTTAAGATTAGAATCCTAGAAGATAATTGGAATGGTGTTCTCTGAAATTAGCAGAAGGGCTCCAAGGCCAGCTTTCCTGCTGGCTGCTAAGACTGAATCTTTCCAACATCAGAGATGAAAGGCAGAGGTAGATATGTGTGTGTGTGTGTGTGTGTGTGTGTGCGCGCGCGCACGCTCATGTATGCATGAAAGAATTGAGCAGGAGGTGTGCCCGACGGGTCAAAAATTAATTGGTCTAATGGCCCTGTGGCCATTTGCTAACGTAGGGAGTTCCCATGATGGGAGTGGAAGAACCGTGGAACTGGCATGAAGTTCAATAAATGTTTCCCCTTACTGTGTATCTAGGTTAGTTGTCTATAACTAGCAGAGCATGGCATTTGATTTGTTAAAGTATTCTGACTATGAAGACCTCCATTTGAACAGTAAGATTGCTCTTTCCTATAGCATATCATGTTTGGTATAGAGAGTCTACAGTGTACTGATTCCAACTTCCTATTCTTTATTTACACTTTCTGTACATATACAACCACAAAAAAGAAATAATGGATTTCCTTCCTTCCTTCCTTCCTTCCTTCCTTCCTTCCTTCCTTCCTTCCTTCCTTCCCATAGTTAAAAAGGACAAATTTTCACTCCTAGCATAAGAATAAAGTGGTGGCTTTTTTCCTCATCTCTCATCTATTATTTAAGATATTATTGTTTAGATCAATATTTTGCAGGGAGATATATAATTTTAATTTCTGCATCAATATTGACTGGTATCCGGTACAGATGCTAAAATGACACTAAAATACTTAGAATAAATGGATAGTGTGCAAATGTATATAATTCAGATCAGTTCTGTTGTTTTCTTGGCAGGAGTATCAGTAGTTATATAATTATAAAGATCTGTCATATAATCAGTCACCTTTTTTTAGTATTTTTCATTTTTCCTAGTGCTGCAAATTTTGCTTTGAAATATATACCTTTTAAATAAACTAAACTTGCTTGATTTTTATAGATTTTAATTGTACTTAAAATGTTCAGGTAAGAAATGTTTAATATAAACTAAACTCCATCAGTTCCACCTATTTTGCTGAGTGCATCATAATACTGTATGCTGGAAAATAGTTGGGCGAATTCTTTTAAATTAATCATCAAGATAATTCACTTCCCATTTTGTATAGGCTCGCTATAGAATAAGATGCATTAAACTTAAAGGAACTTCTCTTTGGAAAATAATGAATCGAATTGCATTGCAAGCTATGTAAAGATTATACAGTTATTTAGATGCTATTCTTAAATTTACTTATTATGAATTGCAAATGAATGAGGAAGGTAGATGTCTATTTGCTACCAATATTTTATTCTGGGCATTTGTTTATGATTATTTTTAAAGTCCAACATCATAGATAAAACTAGAAGAACCTTACTAACATCTGAAACACATCCATCTGATCATCTGAAAGGTATCTGGTTAGGGAAATATGGTACATGAAATCCTAAATTAAATATTTATGTAAGACTGGGTAATATGAATGACTTCACTTGATTTAAAAAAAACCACTACTATTTAAATCAGAATATGGACTCTGTTCAATGAGCTCTTGCATTGTCAGCGTTTCCTTATTCATTTCAGTATTTCAGAGTTGAAAGTTATTAACAATGTAAATCAGAAAAATAAGGTGGCTATGAGTTATCTTGATGGAAAGAAACCTTTGGATCATTTGCAATGTTCCTTCATGCTTACAAATCTGAAGAAAATTAATTGTGGCTCAAACATTCTCAGATGAATATAACATATTTATAAAGACAAAAAGCCAAGATAATAATAAACATTTTTTAAATCATAAAACTGTTCCATAATGAGAAGGACAAGACAAGCTGCCCTCCTTTTCCTTATTTGTATTGGCATCAGAACCATTGGCAAAGAAGATATAGAAGAAAAATCCACAAAATTTCAGGAGTTAAATTAACAATTCAAAAACATAAACTGGAGGAGGGTGGGCTTGACGTCGCAACAACATGACGTGCAATCTTAGGGCTCCAGGATTGCTGTTGATATCTCTGTTCCTGGACAGTCCTTTTGGACCTAAACTGTTCTGAAGGAACAGTGATAGAGAAGAGCATGTCCTGCTAATCTCAGGGGCATTGCAAAGCCCCTGATTGATTCAAGAGAAAGTTCTTTTTGCCAGCTACAAGAGAAGCAGCCAAAATGGCTGCAGAAGGTTGGGACAGGCCTCTGAAACAGAAGCAGTATAGGAGTGATGTCGAAATGGTGGGAAAAAGTTTTATTATTAGAGAAGGGATAACCCAAAATAATTGGAATTTAAAATAAAATTGAAGACAGAAGAAAATAAGTGGCGAATTAACCCTGGTCTAAGACTATCATGTTATCTTTTTTACCTTAACTTTGTTTTCTATGGATGGACTTTTTACAAATGCCTCTTACTTTTAAGCTGGACTGGTCTCTTTTTTCCTTCTTCCTCTATACTTTTTCCATTTTTTGTNCCATGGAGGTCTGGATTTGGAGTTACACTCAAAATTAAAGTGAAAAAAACCAACAACAAGCTGACCCAACTTTGATGTAATGTCCTTAAAACAAGTCAAAATGAGGCTCAGTAGTGTGTGTGGCCACCATGTGCCTGTATGACCTCCATGTGCCTATATGACCTCCCTACAACACCTGGGCATGCTTCTGATGAGGTGGTGGATGGTCTCCTAAACGATCTCCTCCCACACCTGGACTAAAGCATCCTCCAACTCCTGGACAGTCTGTGGTGCAATTGGCGTTGGTGGATGGAGCGAGACATGATGTCCCAGATGTGCTCAATTGGATTCAGGTCTGGGGAATGACCGGGCGGGTCCATAGCATCGATGTCTTCGTCTTGCAGGAACTGCTGACACATTCCAGCCACATGAGGTCTAGCATTGTCTTACATTAGGAGGAACCAGGGCCAACCACACCAGCATATGGTCTCACAAGGGGTCTGAGGATCTCATCTCGGTACCTAATGGCAGTCAGACTACCTCTGGCGAGCACATGGAGGGTGCAACCAATTGCAAAGATGCTGCAGTGTGCCCACCCACCTAGTTCCTGCCCATTCTGCCCTGCCAGATCCCCACAGGCACAGGGCCTGCTTTTCCACCTGGCAGGGTTCCACAGGCCTCTTCCCACACCCCCCTCACAATTGCATACTTACCTTCCAAAGATTTCCACAGCCTAAGAGGTGGGGGAAGAGAAGGAGAACAAGCTATTTTGTTGCTAGGCCACATGGCTCAATCCCACAAGCTGCGTCTTTTTCTGAGCTGCAAATTGCTTCAACCCAGCCACCTGTGCAGTCTAGCAATGAAGCAGTTTGCAGTTGAATAGGTTTGGAAAATAACGACCGCTTGTGGAATCCAAGCAATGGACACCTGTACTTTGTGAAGAAAAGCTTAATTCACCAGCAAAGGGAGCTCATTTTCTTCCTTGCTGGTAATCTTAGCTCAGATTTCAAACCAGCAGAGCTACTTCCCCTCCCTCAGTGCTAGCTAGCCTGGTGCAGGGTGGAAAGGGAAAAGGGCTGCCTTTAAAATAAAATATGGGATAATCATACAGCCTTGACTTTATACAGAGGAAAAAGAAACAAAGTGTTTTTACTCACCTAGCTCTCCATTTTCTAAAATTTCAAAGGTCAGCCAAAGATCTCGACTAGCTGTTACATTTCTCATCTTAAGCACTTGATTTGTTAGTTCTTCTGCTCTCATCTTGGGAGAAACCTGTAGGGTAGTTAAGAAATAGAATTCTAATTTTCAGTCAATCCATTGTACAGTGTATATATTAATACCCTTTTGTCATAAAAATAAGTGATGCCTTAGTGATAGTTGTGAACCTCTTTTCTTCATCCAAAAGTACCCCTGGGCAATTTATACAAATATACTCTATTGCTTACCTTGAGAGTAACACAATAGTCAGGATTCTTCTGCTCCAGATATACTTCCAAGATGATATCACCAGCCTGTGAGAGCTGTAGAGAGAAAACTGAAGTTTGTGTGCCAATGCCATGCGGATGCTACCAGGTCCCAGAGAGAGAGAGAGGACAACCAGATCAGAAACCACCCGGCTGTTGGGATGCCTCAGTAACCCAACTGGCCCCAAGACCAAGCCTCCCCCAAGCCAGTTGAAATGCTACATGCAGAGGGAGTTGCATCAGCTTGTGCAACTCCATCTCTGAAACCCAGGCCATAGCCACCCTCTAGAGTGTGACCTGAACGAGACCCCAGGCATGCCACTAACAAGTCCCCCAAAGCATCCAGACTGTAGAGGTCCCTCCCTAACCAGCCGAAGGGGGGGGACTCCAGCTGATGACCAATCACTGGAATCCTATGACAGTGAGGACGAGGGGGAAAATGACCCAATGGTGAGTGAACCTATCCACTCTTTTGTCTTTCCAATACATCTCACAGCCCCAAATAATGAGAGTAATCTCGCAGAAGCACTAATAATAACAAAAGTTAAGCTGATAAAAAGAGCAGATAGAGGGTTTCGAATTCTTATAAGACATGCAATGAACAACAAGTTCTTAAGAGAAGTCCACATAAGACTTATCAAGAAAACAGAATATAGACTTTACAAATGGCAAGAGATATTGGACTACACTATCTCTGGAAGGATACAGGATGATGAAATGAAATGTCACAATAAATTTTAGTTAAATGTAGTTAAATTTTGAGTACTATGTACAACATAATAATAGCTATAGTCAAATAAATGATTAATAATGATAACAAAGCATTTATA